GTTTGATGAGGGTGAAATAGGAGATAGAAGTTTATATGAGTGAAATATGTAAACGACATCGCTGTACTACGAAATCCACAACACAACTTATTCGTCTATCGAGTATCAGAAATCACGACTCAAGCTCAACCCAGTACACCTTACTCGTACAATTATATGAAAATATGTTGGAATTTTTCACGTTGCGTGACTGCAAACCGTTCGTCTTTATGCCGATATCTCCGAACATAATCGCCGACATTGAAAGCGGTTTCATGTTTATTTACAAAAAGGAATTATGGTTACCAACTAGGTTCTATGTACGTACCTACGGTTACTTATTATCGAACTGTTTTGCGATGGATTCGGAGACCTTATTCTCTTAAACATTGCTGTATTTTAAAACGTTATTTGTACAAAATAAAAACTTATATTTTAAATGTGAAAGTGAGTTTGTTTGTTACGTTTTCACGCCTAAACGACTAAAAATTGTTTGCCCAATGGAAAGCTACCGTATTAGCGAGTAACATAGGCCCATTTTTACAGCGATAACCGACATATACGCGGGCAGAGCCGCAGGCAAATGCTGGTTTATTATAAACTGAAAGTTCTATTTCGATAGTTTTCACTGAGTGCGTGAGGTTATCGGAGTTCAAACCTACCTTTTCCCATAATCAGGGGCGACAACGCACTTGTGGTTTTTAAGTTGCATGCACAGTACCATTATATGACCCGTCTTCTCGTTTGCCCCCAAACAGCACGATATAATTAGTTAGGACGTCACAGTTGCTACAGTCAAGTAATTTTCTTTTTTTAAAGACAACTCCCGCACTAGGCATATATCATGTATAGCGGGGGACGTAACAGACATACATATAATGTACAAAAAGTACATCCAGACTCAGAACAAACATTAGTGGATCACACAAAGTGTTGTCCCATGTGGGGATCGAACCCAGCTCAGTAGGGAGCGGCAAGGTGACCGCTTAAATCACTACGCCATCCGTGGAGTAAAATTTTACTTTAATGTTTGCACTATACAATGACATGTATGATGCAACAGGAATACTAGTCGGTCTTAGGTATATCTAAATAAATAGTCCGTAGCGTTGTGGCTAAGATGTCAGAATTACGAACGCGACATGAGGCCACGACTGACTATTTACAATGTGCTTTTGAACTTAGCTGAACGAGTTATGATGATCATGATGAAGAAGTGAACCAGAATACTAGTTATGTTTAGCAGATATATATCTGGCACCCTATTAAGTGTTTATGTTGCAATCAAAACTCTTAAAAGAAGAAATCTTAAGAAATGTTAACTCTCTTAAATCTTGAATCAGTCAAAAGTACTTTGCTCAATGGATTTGGTTAATTCGGTTAAATTAGATATTTTCTGGTTTAAGATATTTATTACTCAAAAGAATACAATTCACTTATATTGAGATTTACAAATTATGAACTTAAAAGTAAACTTATAATCTACGAGCGCATTTGACGGTGTCACCAAGCATTGTACAAAATCACATAACCAAAATTAAAATGTGGGTACATTAAGAAGAAAATACAAAGGTCGGGTCGCATTACGTATCGGTGTCTGATAGCAAGCGGGTAATTATGCAATCATAATTACAATCGCGATGCTAAAAACTAGAGAACTCTTTAAAGATGTGGAACTTAAGGGTTTTTTTAAATAAGTTGATTGATTGTATTTCTTTCATGTTATTTGGTAATTTATTATATAGTTGGGCTCCTTCATATAAAATATTTTTCTTTCCGTAGTTGGTTCGTGGGTGTCTTAAACATAAATTATTTTTTCGTCTTGTTATTCTTTTTTGAGTGTTTCCTTTTTTTGTAAATGTTAGCTTAGTATGTATATTTTTGTCTAAGATTTTTCGTACTAGTAGACATGTATTGTATTTATATATCTGAGCTAAAGTCATCAATTGTGTTTCTTTGTATATTTTTTTTGTAGGAGTTAGATAGTTGTAGTGGAAGAGCATTTTAATCATTTTGTTTTGGGCTATTTGCAATGTTTTTAGGTTACTTTTAGCAGCTGTTCCCCAAACTTCTATTAAATATTCGAGATGAGGTTTTACCATTGTATTATATATGATGTATCTTACGGATTTTGGAAAGCAGCGAACGTTACCGCGAAGTATTTTCATAATTGCTGAAAGCTTAGATTCTATTTTATCTATATGCGGCTGCCATGTGAGATGCCTGTCTAGGTTTAGGCCTAGGTATTTTTCAGAACTAACTGCGACGATGGGTTCATTGTTAATATATAAAGGATAGTGAGGCCCAATTTTTTTGTTTTTTGGACTGAATATTAAATAATTTGTTTTTGATGTATTTATAGTTAGTAAATTGTTCTGAAACCACTCAATGAGAGTGTACAGATCATTTTGAGCTTGATTAATAATCGAGTCTATTTTACTACCGTAATAAAATAGGCTGGTATCATCTGCATACAGCGTTATGTCCCCTGCTAAACCTAGGTTTTGAACGTCGTTGATATATATTAGGAACATTAAAGGCCCGAGTATTGATCCTTGCGGTACGCCGAAAGTGAGGATTTCAGTATTGCTTTGAACTTTACCAATCCGAACAACTTGCTGTCTATTCGTGAGATATGATCGAAACAGACTATGAGCGGTTTCTCTTATTCCTATATTGTATAGTTTTTGTAGTAGCAGATCATGACTTATAGTGTCAAACGCTTTTTTCAAATCAATGAAAAAAAAATTTATTTGAATTGTAATAAGTAATTTATTAATTGTTTGTTATCTGGAACACGGGGTAGGCTGCCATCAGATGGTCCGACTACCTAGTGAAGGTCGCGGGAGGCTGTGAGATGCGAGCAGCACAGGACCGGTTGTTATGGCGAACTTTGGGACAGGTCCTATGTCCAGCGGTGGACGTCTTTTGTCCGAGATGATGATAATGCAGTTATTTTGACTGATGCTACAGTGGTTAAAAGTAGTTTCGACTAACAAGTTCAGTGAAAACCACTTTTGACTATAAATTTGCGGACTAGTTTTGACATTCTATTCATTCAAAAAATTATTTTCATTGTTTTTTTTTGAGTTAAAGTAGCTTTAAATATATGCACAGGTGGATCGCTCGACCTTCTAGATGAAAGTAGGGCAATGTGTAATAACAGTATATTGAAATCATTCATTATCCTTTGCAATAATTAAATAAACAGTTACAGACAGTATTAAAATTTTACAATGAATCATAAAAACTTAAAATATTCTGAAATTATAATACATGAAATGAAGTTTAAATCTCAAGCAAATAAATCTGAATATTGGTACATCGTGTCGTGTATAGCCGAGCGCATCACCCGCCCCGCGTCCCGCAAGCCATCGGCAGGGCCAAGCTTTACGGTGGTTTTTTCCATTTCCAATGTTTAAACATCCACCTATAGTCAAGGGATGTTACGAATTTTATATTTTAAGCAGTCGCGACCGCGGATGCGTTTAGAATGCGATGCGAAAGCGAATACTAAGACATGACATTAAGTTTTATTAAAAATAGAAAAAGTTTAATAGTCAACTTTTAAGAGGCAAATTATATTTTTAAAAACAATAACTTGGCTGCATTTTCGCCCATGAACCGAATTCTGAGTGGCTCATATATGAGGCTTGGTGCACACAACTGCTGTGCAGCATTATGTATCACCCATAGATATAGAATACTAATAGATTGGCTATGCGGAAAAGAGACAATACGAGTTTACATGTGTTAGAGCGCGACAGATAAACGAGATCAAACACCGATACGCTATGAGCCTGTATCGTCCTAGCGCCCGTCGAGGTCGAAATATTATTGTTGTTATTTTTTCGGAATCTTGAGTATTTTGTTGTGATTTATTATTTATTAAGCATGTTTTATCATGGTGACGTGCAGTACCTGGATGTAACGCTTCCAAGAAAGAAAATCCACAAAATCTTTCATTTCACATGTAAGTAAATAATGCCATATTTGCCTCTAAATAAGCTTTGTTTCAATGAGATATCGTATATTTTATATATCAAGCGGTAGGGAATATTATCTCGTTTAGTTTCATTATAAATTAAGATGCTTTCGCATCATACAAAAAGAATTATTAAATACGTGAATTTATGTTGTTTCTAACCTCACATACCTAGAAGTTTGAAGTGACAATGTCGATAAAAATATCGATAATAGTCACAGTGATCAAATAATAATCATCAATTAATTTTATTAAAACCATTCTATACTGACTATTTGACATTTTAATTATGTTAATTTCATATGGTTACAGATTTCCAAAAAATGCAGACATTCGAGGAAAATGGAGAACAGACCAGATAATTAAACTGATTATAGAAACATATGTGTCCATTAGAATTAAATATGAGGCAAAGTTGTGTAATGCAACCAAAGAAAGTTTAAGAAATTTCTATAATAAATTAATATTGTTCGGAGGAAAATGAATTCCTATACATGCTTACAGTGCTGTTTTTGATTAAATATTGTTTGTGGTTAAATATTCATGTTTCTAAAACAACGAGCAATAGGTATAGCGTAATATTATTATCACTTAATTAACACATTAAACATTTAAACAGTCCATTGTTTTGTGTATACACAAAAAATTATAGCAATAAAGATGTCTTTTTAATTTTGTAGTTTTCTTGTACTTATTCGCACTAAATACGTAACTCTCAATCCCAAATTATTTATACCAGTTGGTACAGGTTATCGAAAAAAATAATTTTGCATGGCGCTTCACTAGCACGTTAGACACACATGCAAAATTGGTGCACACCATTGCATTTCTTTTTTGGTCTCGCTTATTGAAATGCACAACCAATCTATGGTATTCTATATCTATGGTATCACCACTCGCATTCTTACATTAGCATTATTTCATGCGAATGTCTAAAACGAAGGTGCCAATTCGTAAACGAACGGTGTAAAACCGTATCAACATTGTATATGCAGGGCTATACCCCACTAAAATTCTAGTAGAAAACGCCACTAACCTGTTGAGGCTGATGAGCTGTGACTTGAGTAACTTGAAAACGATCCTGGCGTCCTCCTCCATGATGAGACCAGCCTTTGCCATGTCGTTGGCCACCTCCTGGCAGTCATCGTTCTCCATATCAAACTCGAACTGGATAGCCTCGTTTTCCTTATGAGTGTAGGACCTGATACAAAAATATATTGTGATCATCTAAGATGAGGCTGTTCCTAGGTGGTTCTGATTTAGTTGCCTTGGTTGCAATCAAAACAAGGGTAAACTTAGTAATTTAGTGTGATACGACCAACAAGATATATAACATTTGTGTGCATGAACATTTAATGTTTGATTTGGTTGGGTGTTTCTATGTATAATATGTATGTATTTACAAAAAAAAGTATATATGTATTTATATCAGTTGTCTAGTACCCATAGTACAAGCTCTGCTTAGTTTGGGACTAGATGGCGTTGTGTGAATGTGGTAAAATATATTTAAATATATTTATATAACTTTTTTTTTAATGACAAATATTTTCTCGCATTCAAAATAATTATTTACATTTAAACATTTCTAACGCTTTGAATGGACAGTGTAAATGATTGACTGTAATATGTGTTCTATTCAGACTAATTTAGATATAAACTTTTATAACTTTCCACACTGTTATTGTGTAATTGTTCGTATGCTAGATGCAATCTATAGTTAACCAGGAAAACCTGTTATTAGCCATATTATTTGTGTGTTATTTAGTTACAAAATAATTGTTTCACTGTTGATTTTCAATAAATAAAAAATAATGACAAAAAAAATAACCAATACACTATTCGATATACTAACCCCTATGTGTGAACCCAGCCACACCATGAATGGTTACAGTGTCACTTAAAAACAGAGTTATCTCCAAAATGTTATCCTAATTCTATTTTATTGGTTTTTATCTAGTTTAACATTCTTTTGTAATGATATAGGTTGCAAACAGGATGACCGTTCACCTGATAAAAAATGACTACTGCCACTTATAAACCTGCAACTCTGCTTGAACTCTTTACTAAAATTTAAACATCACATCACCTGCGCTGGCGCCAATCGTCTGATAGCTCAATCCGGCTTACAACTATGTATTGTTAGGGTATTGTAACCGTTGATATATTTCATCATCATGATCATCATCAACAGCCTCTACTAATCCATCCATCCTCTCCTTACAAAGGAGATTTTGACCTACTGTATATAAAAGATGGAAAAGGCTTAGAAAATTCCCCAGTAACCACTTACAGGAATGTCGAGGAATTCGTTTGGTATCTTAATGCTTTTAAAGTTATGCTACAAATATGTATATTTACCGTTTCTTGGGATCGATGATTTTGAGACGGAACTGTATTTTGGTAATTTCAGATGATGTCACCAGATCTCTTCCCACGATCTCCAGCCGTAGACCGATGTCCTCACCAAAGAACTCGTGGTTCAACAGATCTTTCACTTTTGGCCTAAGAAATAAAAGAAATTGCTTTTATTTCGTTGCGTTTTTAAAACCCTTATTTTTAATGGCATAGTTTTTTTACTATATTTGTTAAGTTGTATGAAATAACAAGAATTAATTGTATGAAATAAAAAGATATGACACGAAAGTCCAGCACCTGACCAATCAGGTCCCAAGTTTTCGTACAAAACGATAATTGCTTGGAACCTGATTGGTCGTGGGGCCGGACTTGACCGAGGCGTCACTATTGCGTCAGTTTTTTCTTAACGCGAATGGACTATATAAAACTAGACAATTAATGACACATATATAGAAAAATATGTCTAGAGCACAACAACAATATACTGAACTGCAATCAACAAGTCAAATGTAGATGATAAAATATTAAGCATAATATTTTGCGGAGTTATCAAGTTCGATCCCAATTTGACTACATCTAACTGTTAGAAGGTCAATTTACATGCGAAATTAATCACCACCGTTAAAATTACCATCACGGATAAACAACGGAGATATTCTCATAACGTTTTCTTAAGTAAGTGACATTATCTGCGGTAAGACTAGGTTTAGTTAGCATAGTTCAAATTTCACATTAGTTAATTTCACTACTTGCTGTGGTATATGAACCCACGTAGAGGAGACAGCACCGCAGCAGTGGGACACTCCATTAACTGTTAAAAACTGTGATGGTTGTATTACACTCACCTATCTGTTTTGTTGGGTTTGATACAGGATTCGATGATATCTTTCACCTCTGGAATGGTCACTTTCTCTAAACTTTGAGGTTTCACGCCCTGTTGATCAAAATTTGCTATTTAAAAACCATTTTATCTAGTAATTTAATTTTTGTAATTTTTATAAGAATTGAGTTATCAAAATTTATTATAACCCGGCAATCTCGTGCGCGACCGTCCCGCGGGGTGACAGACAGTGGCGGGGGCGAGGTAGCGCGTCATTCTAGCACACGTCCCTTCCCCGCTACACCACCCGCTACCCGCTGACATCTTGAGTACCTCGTCCCCGCTACCGTCTGTCACCCCGCAGGACGTATCAATTTAATGCAAAAACTGATGTACCTAAATTACGTTTATTTTGCAATTTTTGTAATGCTATACAAGTACAAGCTCTGCTTAGCTAAATTTTAGACAGTGCTTTCAATTTAAATTTAATATCTGTTTGACAACTGTATAACATAGAATTACGTTTTTACGTGTTTATTTTTACTTTATTTCAACTCGCTGTCGACGGCGAGCGCGTTCGGCAAGTACGAGTTTATTTCATTTCTACTCGATCGTCACGGAAATCTTAACCAATCGCAACGCTAAATGCGCCTCGCCGTTGAGAGCGAGACAATGTGAAGTAAAATTGAACTCGGCAATCTGAACTCTTCACCAATCGCAACGCCGAGTGGGCACCGTGACGATCAAGTTGGTGTGAAATAAAATCACACTAGGCCCTCAGTAAGCTTCTCACTCCGTATGCCGTGTCTACTAGGCATGCCTTTTGAGTTCTGTCGTTTCCATATTTTCCCGCAATTTTGAATTTGGAACTGTTCTATATTCGAATGTGGATTAATGCTATTGTTTAGTCAAAGCGTCGATTGGAATCTGTCAGGTTACGTACGAAAATGAATCTTTCTAAGGAAAATGTTCGTGCAATAATTTTCTACAACTTTACAAGAGGCCTGACACGGCTTCAGTGTTTTGAAGAGCTAACATAACATTTCTTCAAACGACAAAATTTAAAAGGCATGCGTCGTAGGAGGGCTGTTATGTGAGCCCTTCGAGTTGTTGGTACGGTAGTGAGCTGGAGACTCACCGAGACAACTTTCTTGTAGATCTGAGCGGGCCCGCTGCACTCGCTGTAGGGATACTCGCCGGTTGCCATCTCGAGCATGCACATGCCGAACGCGTACACGTCCACGGACTCGTCGTAGTGCTCTTCGTACATCTCAGGCGCCATGAACTCGGGCGTACCTGCGTGTATACATCATCACATGTGTCTAAATATTGCTCAGATCAGTTTGATACTAAGGTAGTTTACATTGCTTATGGCTTAGGACACAAACAGAGGGAACTCCTGAGGATAAGTGACTACCGACACCCATGAACAACTCACTCGTTGACTGCACAGATGGCGTAGTGGTTTAAGTGGTCGCCACGCCGCTTCATACTGCGCTGAGTATTGTGGGTTAAATCACAAATTGTAGTTATGATTCTGGGTGTTCTGTGTCCGTTTCATGTATGTTTGTAAAGTCGCCCGCGACATAGAATATATGGTCCTAACGCGGGAGTTGTCTTTTGAAACAAACAAAAAAAAAGGTAGTTTACCTTGTTTATGGCTTAGGAGGTAAACGACCAGGTGAATCTCCTGATGGTAAGTGGCTACCGACCCCTATGGACAACTCAAGTTACAAATTCGTTGCTCCCCTTTGAGAACGTTGGGCTCAACTAATTATTTAATTCGTACGTATTGTATTTAAAACATGATCCGATACAAATCGAATAGGATATTTAAGTACTCAAATATACTAACGCTATATTTCCTACCAGATTTGTTTATATTTATTATTCTCACACCTAAAAAGTTATTTACATAATATTTGAAATTATTAACTATTGGACTTACCTATCACGGACTTAGCGAAGCTCCTATTCTTGAGCGTGGCCAGTCCTAGGTCCCCGATTTTCACGCTACCCGTCGTGCCGGTAATGAAGATGTTGTCACATTTCAGATCTCTGCCAACATACAAAGTGTCGATTTAGTGTTTGTAAGGTATACTTACTTTTTTTTAATAATAGGGTGGTAAGTAAGTATTTAATCGGGCTAAGGGTAACCATTATAGACATGAAAATTATTGCTATGTTTAAATCTTATTCAATTGATGAAATGATTGGATTTAGTCACAGGTATTTCACCTGTGATTGTGATTTGGTCATAGACAATGATAAATGGCATTAAAATCAATCAAAATTATTTTTGGTAAAGATTATGACCTTTTTTTAGGTTTTAGACCTTTGGCCAGTCTGGTGCTAGCATAATAATAATATATTTCAGGTACATAGACAAACTACTACCATTGTATTGTTATTTTTTGTTCATAATTACCTGTGTATGATAGGCGGTGTTCTTGAATGTAGAAAATTCAGTCCCTTGAGTATTTGGCGACACCACGACTTCAGCACTTTCGGATTTATGCGCTTAAACCGACGCAGATATCTGAAAAGATGAGCTATTTTAGATAATTCTAGCGATTAACCTGAAACTATTTTTGAAAAAAAAAACAAATAGTAATCAATATATTTCCACTTTGATGATGATTCAGATGCATTAAATTTGAATGCATGTTTGCAAATAAATCAAGCGTTTCTTTTTATTTTGTTTGTCCGTCTGTTTATTCCGGCTAATCGTCGAAACTACTGCAACGATCTTTAAAAGATTATAACAGGCAGATTGCTGATGTCATAAAGAGTGACTCAATCAACTTTTGGCTTTTAAAATGATTTAGGATCACAGAAAAATATTGTATACGCCAGTGGTAGTAGGCTATGCTTTTCTATTAAATATGATTTAACACTATTTTTTAATATTTAACTTACGCTTTCAAAGTGCCAGATAACATAAGCTCTGTGATTAACACAATATTTTTCTTCTTAGCCACTGTGCCTTCCCAGTAATTGTAAAATCTCACAATGTTGGGATGCTGCAGCTTTTTTAGCATATCTGCCTCCTCGCGGAATCGCAGGCGCTCTGTTTTGTTCAGTTTTTTTTCCTGGAAACAGCAAATAAAATGGTGAGATATTGAAGGTCAAAATGAATTAAGGGTTCTGAGTTCTGTGGTAGATTAGTGTAGACCAAAGAGAACTAACAGGTCTAAAAATGTCTTTTTTTAGTGGACATAAGTCTCTCCTTAGAAAGGAGGTTTTGGCCTACTATACACCACGCTGGTGGTGGGTTTGTGTCAAGTCTCCTCTCTGCAGTGTTGTTGTTCTGCGTTGTATTTCCCTTAGTCGGCTCTTATGACACCCATGGGATGAATAGGGGTGGTGACACTCTGTATTCTTAATCCGTCACCACACGGACGGCCCAAGCATCAATCTACAGAAAATATGAAACAACTTCAGAATGGGAAAAAATGCTAATCTAGAAGAATCATTCAACGACACTTTGACAGCAGATAATTATTTGGATAGTCGATATCGCCGTATCCGTAGATTTAATTTTTAGCAGTTATTGTGACTTACGAGCAATTCGCACCAAGCTACGGCGACGCCAGTCTGTGTGTCGAGTCCGTGGTACACCGTCTTAAACGAGCCGCGACCCACTTCCTTGTCGTACTTGAAGAACCTGCAAACAATCACCGCGCTGATTATAACTACTGCTTATAATCAAATTAACCTATCAAAACAAACCTTGACCACTGATATATGTGTTTATTTCACATCTACTCAATGGTACGGTGGCCGCGTTCGTCGCGTCGTTGCGATTGGCCCGCACTGAACTCTTCACAAATCGCAACGTCGGATGCAGCAAACGAATACACGCAACAAAAAGCAGTAAAGTGAAATAAACTTACACTAGAGACCCTCTGTTGGCAGCGCATCTTTTAGTGGTTTATCAAATGGCCATGTTGTGAAGTAGCAGCATAGAAACAGATGGGGGACTAGGCTTGCTTGCCTCCACAACTTATTAAAAAAACTAAATTTGACGAGAACATTTGAAACCAAGTTAGGGAATACATAGTACACACCTGCCACAGGGCGAAACTCCTATAGGCTCCTCTTCATCCTCATTGTCTTGCTTCTCTTTCTCCTTTTGTTCCAGCTTCTCAAGCTCGTATATGGGACCGTAGACTAGACCTGGAATACAAAAGAAACAAACATTTTTGTGTTACAACTGAGGCAAAAAGAAGCAACAATTGCCTAATCAATAAGATTTATGGGCTTGTTCTATTGGTTAACGATAGCGACATCGAATCCTCAAACTCCTGCTTAAATTTCCAGCCCAGACATTTGTGATGTCTGTGATGTGTGATTTTGATGAATACAATCGATCATCTATAATATGTATGTCTGAGAGAGAGAAAGAGGCCGTGTATGAGGTATCTCAAATCACCACAGCCATTATCCATGCCACCAACTGAATGCGTGGGGTTCGCTACGCACCCAGTTCACCACCGAAGTGAACCCACATGTAATAGTTTAAGCTTAGGTAGAGAAACTGGAAGAGGAGTCAGAATACTAGAACTGTATTACCTATGGATTGTTTAGCCCAATAAAGCAAGCTAAACCATTTCATATATTTGAAAAAAACTAGTTACAAATCACTACTTGACATCATAGAGGAATATGTGTATTAATGGACCTCTGTATGTTTGTACTCATATATGTTGTATGTATTTAAGTGTATTAGTTGTATGTATACAGTAAACTTACATTTATTGTTCATTATTTGCAATATATTGTAATATTACATCGCAGGCTACCCTAATTTAAATATAACAATATCCGTATAAAGGTTGTCTGAGATCGCGGTAAGCGATAAGACTGCCTATTTGTTTACTCAAATATGTATAATATCTGTACAAATAATACTGCAGTAGTGTACAATAAAGAGATAAAAAAATGTTCAAAGAATACTTGGTGTCTTAATTTATTCTTTACCTAAAACATATTCTATCCATTGGATTCCTCCGTAATTAATATGTAGATGTTTTGTTTTTATGTTATCTATACAAATAAATAAAATTGAAGTGTCTGTTTGTAATATTAAAATAACCGCTTTTTACTAAATGCATATGTATGTTTACACGGTACATATGCCAAAATAACATTTTTAACCATTTTTGTCTGTCTGTTTGTTCCGGGTAATCTCTGAAACGGCTGGACCGATTTCGACGGGACTTTCACTGGCAGATAGCTGATGACATAAGGAGTAACTTAAGCTACTTTTTTTAGACTAGCTTCGCCCCGCGGCGTTGCCCGCGGTTATAACAACAAACGCGGGTAACACCGCGGGTCTCAGCTAGTTGTTCATATATTTCACAGACTATTTGTATGTGACTGCATATAGTTTCAACTTTGTTATTGACGTTTTGTCGTGATCACTAAGATGAGCGACTGTATACGAATTGGCTTTCAGGATCGCTGTTTGTTTGTTTTGCGGATTTGTATTTATTTTTTATCTTATTACCATTTTGTGGTTCCTGCGGCTGGTCTTCCCCAGACGCGTCGGTGTTGGATATTCGCTTTTCTGTCGCTGTCGCTATTTCTATGTTTTCCTCCTGTAAAGTAACACCAAGTTTTACAATAAGAATTTTTTTATAATTTTGTTAAGGAAGGTCAAGAAGTAAAAATTTTCTAATAATGAAAAAAAAGATGTATGTTAATATATGTATTTTTTTAAAAATGGATAATTTACAGATTATAGATGCGACAAAATCACAGTGAACTGGAGAATTAACGGTGATTTATCTTACGATATTTTCGTAAGTAGGTTAAAGAAAAAAAAAAGCGTTACTACTTACTCACGCATTGTTGCCATTAAGCTGTTTTCAGACAGTGCACAAAGACCTATTTCGCCTATTTGACAGTAAATCTAGCAATTATTTTATCATATTTAGCTACCATTCCCTACATAATAATTCACAGTTCACTGTCATTATGTCCCATGTCTAATACAGATTTATAGATTGTCATTCTGAAACAAATTTGAAAACGGGGCAACTCTTGTCAATTTAAATGTTGATTTACAAGTAGGGCTCATTCATATAATACGTTTTTAAATATATGACCCTATATACAATCTCATTATAATGCAAGATAGGTGAGGCAGCACGGGTAACGCTAAGAAGGAGCAATTTTATGCGTCTTACTTTATAATTGGACTGTCAGAAATAATCCAATGGAAGAACATTATAGCTATCATAAAATAATGACTGGACAAGACTTGATTAAATCTGATATACAGACCAAACTTTCGATCTCATAACTGTCATAAACGGTATTTTCGTAGTAAAATAGTTTATTAAAGTATTACTAAGACTAACAGATTACCGATTCAATTTTCGGTTACGATACGATATAATCACATTACAGTCAACGTTTGATGTTAAATACTTTACTACGAAAATACCTTTCATGACAGTTGGGGGATCGAAAGTTGATCGGAACTGAAGTGAGAACAAACTTTTATTACGAGACTTGGCCTTCAGAACACATGAAGCTGCCAAATAAAGACAGTAATTTGTGTGTACGTGTGTTAGTACATTTCTTACTCCTTTACTTTAAAATAGCAGAACGAATTAGTATAAAAGTTCGCACAATGTAAACAAATCATAGATATAGAGCTGTAAGCGAAAGCTTGTTTTAATTGAAATATCCGTTTTTATATAGTTGAGTGCTCCTTAAAGCATGCGCAAGGAATTTTTAGATAATAAAGTAACTTAAGACTAAATGAATCAATCATATTGCAAACAAAAGTACTATATAATGTTACATACCAATAAAATACATATTAAATACACACTGAACACCAGCAAAAACATATGTTATTAAATACAAATATTTTTCTTATATATGTTATTATATATTACATAATATATATATATATATATATCATTATATGTACCTAATTACTCATTATATAGTAATATGAAAATTAGTTTTTAGTTAACAAATAGATATAGTTATTACTGCTTAGCCGTCGTCCTCTCTCCTAACCTTTTGCTGTGCCCGACAAGGTCCATAACGGTTCTGTATTTTTATTTTTATGACCTAAAGTTAGAACAGTGTGATTATGCCATCAACAAAACTATGCATAATATGAAATAAATATTGCACTCTCACTGTTCTATTGCTACTAAGTTGACACGTTGGTAAAACAGATTGGGTACTGGTCTAGAGGTGACCCTTTCTCTTAAGCCAGAGGTCTTGGCATTGGTTTTCCACCCAGGACAAATATCGTGGGATGAGCACAATGTGTATGTATTTCGAAATATTTAAGTATGTTTATCATCGGCCTAGTTACGATAGTACAGGCTCAGCCTAGTTTAAGATCAGACTACCGTGTGTGAGATGTGTGAAGTTATGAACATTTTTGTCAAACATTTCAACTAAAATCTTAAATCTTATCCTCTGTGTCATGAGACTGTTTTTCTTTGACTTTATTTGTCTTTATTTGACAAAACAGAGATTGTTGCTTTTGTGTGTGTTGATCTATGACTTTAGAGTCTACATGGAAGACGATTTCAAACAATTTTGGAAATTTTATGAAATAAAGAAAGTTTGAGTTTGAGTTGAGTTTGAGTTTGCAATAGAAAGGTGTTATTCTTTACTTACCAGATCTTGTTCCGAGATAAAAGCGTCGTCTTCGAGCCTCGCGACCAGTTTATTGCCGCTGTCATCCAGCTCCGGGTCGCACAAAGTACCCTGGCCCGAACTCCGCCTGTGGAACCCGCCGACACCCACACCGACCACCGGTTGACTGGCCTACAATAAGAAATTTTGACCAACTAAGATCGACTCAATATGTTTTCTACTCTATGCTAAAGTGGCTGGCCTGCTAGTTAAAATTAATTCTCCCCAGAATTATGGGACCCCTTGGTTAGGCCTCCTGAAACCTCTCTCACTCGATGAAAAGCAATGAAAGAATTACTCAACACCGGTTTTCTGTGAAGTCATGGTATCGCTCCGGTAAAGCCAGTCCATTTGTGACGAAGCATGGCTCTACCACGGTAACAGCTTTCACATACTCATTACATAGCTATTAGAAATGTTGCTGTCTGACAATGCAGTAGGATGACTTGAATGTTAAGTACATTTTAAATTCTTAGCTTCGTAAGAACTTAAAACAGCATAAAAATGTAGTATAAAAAGTAATATGAACTCGGTGCTCACATCTCAGTGTCAATATTGCGCACGCGCAGAACTCTGTAACATTCCTAATTTAAAATTAACACAAGCAGCACAGTATTACTCAAACATTTCTTAATATCTTCTCGCATTAATCAGCCACAGTCCAGACCATAATTTTGCACATAAATATTAGGTTCATATTTTATAAATTTCCAATGTACTACGCAGTGTTCGACGGCCATTAATCATCATACGACATACATCTTTTATTACCAAGTTATTTTATTACCCACGTGTCTCATAGTGACGCATCGATGCGTTCAGTACTGTAATACACTCGAATCCGCATCGAATTGTGAATACTACCTTCAAGAGTTAAATATTACGGATTGGACTGTACGCAGCCCATATGGATTGGACTGTACGCAGCCCATATGGATTGGACTGTACGCAGCCCAGATGGATTGGACTCTACGCAGCCCAGATCTCACCCTGATCAGGTATGCTTAGAACGAGCTCCCATGTTATATTGATATAATTGATTTTAAAGAAGTATGGGAGAATATTCCTCAACATCGTATAAGAACCTTGGTGTATAGCATGGCTAACTATGGCGCAATAAGGCATAACCATGGAAGTACCAAACTTTGACAAATATTTTTGTTTAAGGACGACTTTTTTTTTGTGTTTTTCAAGAATATATAATAGAATATATACAAAATGTCCAAACAAATTTTATTGATCATCTATTACAATTTATGTAAATGACGAAGTGTTGATTTCCAATAAGAAACAAGATACCCTTATTTTTAAAGCAAGGTCTATTTCTACCAAATGGTACAAATGCATCAAAGAGTTTCTTTGGTAAGATTATAATAAATCAAATGATCTGCTTGAAATTTTCATTGACGTCCAAATCGATAAATGATAAAAAAAATACTAAAATAAAATTTATTTGCAGTATAAGAATAAGGTCTTGGTAACATTTTATGTATGATTAACATCTTATTGTAATTCGATTTTTATATAAAGCTTATTATTAAAGTAACATAAAACTAGTATACCTGTATCATGACTATTCTAAAATGTGCGGGAGTGGCAAAAAGGTAAAATCAAAATATTACAAATTCTTTTGCAAACGGCCTGAGCTTGACTATGGTGTTAGTTACAGGACGTTAATATTTTAAAGTACTAATAGATTAATAATGTAAATTACTTGATGTCCGTGTAGTGACGGATTAAGAATACGGAATGTCACTACCCCAATTCATCCTGTGGGTTTCGTAAGAGCCGACTAAGGGCGCAAAACAACGCAGGACGCCAGCGCTGCAAAAAGAAGGAAAACTTGACACAAACCCTATACCAACCCGTCTGGCCAGCGTGGTATAGTAGGCCAAAACCTCCTCTCTAAGGAGAGGCCAATGTCTAGCAGTGGACTGTTAAAGGCTGTTGATAACTTGAGACTGGTTTGTATACTTAAATATATATTACTTATTGTTTAATAACCTAATTAAAGTCAAAACTATATTATTTTAAAAATTTCTGAGATGTTTTTTGTGTCCGCGTAATTGAGCTGGTAATGGTTCATATGTAAATGACAGAGTCCTGGGGTATCAAACAGACAATATACATATACAACCGTTTTTTTTATTAAGACAACTGCTGCTAAATATCCTGTGTCGCGGGGGACTTTACAAACATTCATTCTTTTTGTCCGACAAAGAACACCCATACTCAGGACAACAATTTGTGGATCACACAAAGTAGGAAGTGGTGAAGTAATCGCTTAAATCACTACGCCATCTGTTCAGGCATTGTAAACCACTCCCTTTTATTGAATTACGTTAATAAATTTTACCGCTTCATATTCCACTAGAACAAAAACTTATTTAGTACCACTAAAGTGATGTTAAACAATGTTATCAAGAACAAATAAAATGAAAACAAAAGCGAATTAACACAAGGAGTAATGACTACAGTTTTCATTATTTTTTATGTTACTGAAACTACAATAACACACGCTCTGGACATCAACATTGTATCTTCAAAGTGACGTACAATTTAACAAAAATCGGTCATTTTCCTCACTCAGTTACTGAAGCAAAATTTTATGCACGCAGGAGAACAGAACTGCAAAGAGAAGGTAAACTTGAAACAAACCACCAACCCGTCTGGCCAGTGTGATATAGTAGGGCCAAAACCTCCTTTCTTAGGGGAGGCTCATGTCCAATGGACTATTTAAGGCAGTTGATGATGTTGATGTGACCTATATATAAAGTAAATAGGTTACTTCTTAATTTTTATCAATTTCTTTATATTAGCAAAAAGCTAACAAGTAAGATTTAAAAAAAAATATCTTAAAGAAAAAGTCAACGTCTATGAACACAATATTATAAACAACAACTCAATAGACTACAAATCAGTAGTAATGCAATACTTTTCAAACTAAGATTGGGTTTTATTGCTCTAATTGAATATTTTTCCAAAGTTGATCACGGATGGTCGATGTTGCCAACATTTTGTTTTAAATGGAACAGTTAATAACATAGAGTAGCTACATAGATGTTCTTCAGATATATGCAAATAACTTTAGAAGATGAACACTCACACACTGCGAGTTCTAGATATAACTCACTCTCCCTGTTTACATATAAGAAGGTTTAATTTATATGGAACTCACTTCATTGATGACTTCAATTAATGACCATATCATAATATAAATAAAATATATATTCTAGATATTATGTATTTTTGACTAGTAATATATTTTTATGGCTTTACCGAATAACTCAACATATCAAGCTAAATGGGTCTTAAAATGTTAGAATAAGAGACTTCAAACCATGAAAATTTAAACAGCTTAAATTTTTCGTACCATACAATTTTTACTGTAAATTAAGTTTGTAGTAATTTACAATATTATAAGTTAATATAAAGTAAGACTTCAGCGCCTTGCGGTCGTTAAGATTTCAGCGGGTGATAGGAGAGTTCATTGACGCTAAATGATTTAGAAATGTACATTCAATATTTTTTATTAAATGAAAGCATGACACCAGAGCATTTAGGCATTAAATCTGGGTAGCCTTATGGCTCACGTGTTCGAGACATTATCGAGTGGTTATTAATTTGAACTGCAATTCAACAGTTCCGATGGGGCCCCATCCCTGATATAAATACTTAGCTTTATTAGGGCTTGACATGGATCATAGCATCTCCAAAGGAGTTTTTTTTTTTTTTATGAAACATAAAAAATATCTTTTACATAAAAAAACTCATTGTGGATCCACAATTTGATTCTAATTACATTTCTTGCTTACATTAGTTGAATCTTAAAAAAGTACAATTATTTTTTTTAAAATTAGTACAGGATCATTAAATGTATTTTTAGTCACCTTTCATTTGAAAGTAAAAAACTTTATGGGAGTCACAATAGAAAAAAATACTTGCTTCTTGAACTTTAGAACTGCGAAACCCGTCACTATGATCATAAATCTTTTCATTTTGTTCACGTATTACAATTTTTCATACTAATATAATAATCTCAATAATATAAAAATTTATATGTACAAAATGCACAAAAAACCTGTTAAGAAAAAATAACACAAATTCTAATTTGAACACGACTCCATTTATTTTATGATCTCGTAATTTAAAAAAAAACTAAGCATAAAAAGATAACACGATCTCGGGAATGAGACTATTATAAGCTACATAATTAAATTTTGTAGTGCAAGCAAAATTGAGCACTGCGCTCTAAAATTTATGGTTATAAATTACATTGCACATTTATATATGTCACTTACATATAATTTTCAATTTGTTTCGGTGTCTAGTTTATTAGATATAGATGTATATAAATCAGGAGTTAATCGTGTTTTTTTTAATGGTTACCACCGCCCACGGACACTTAAAACTCAAAAGGTTACTCATACTTAACATCTTATGTGTTAATTATAAAATTAAAAGTTAAAATAAAAGTAAAGCTAAAATTTTCTTTTCCGATTGCCTATCATATTATGATGACCGTACTACGATCAGTGCAATTCGACCGCACCGCGGGGTAAACCCTATTAGTCGCGAGTTAAAGTATCTAGTCTTTTGCAAGACAAGGAGTATAAGATTATACAGGGTGCTACTGCATTTTGAGTCATTTATTAGACCACATACTACTTATCTCCACGGGCGGATTACCATCCAGGACAAATAACTCTGTGATGAGCATGATCATTCGTTCTGTCTGGGTGTAATTTATCCATATTATGTATGTATTTAGAAATATTTAAGTACGTTTATCAGCAGTCTAGTTACCTTAGCCCAGGCTCTGCTTACTTTGGATCATAATTGTTTTTTTTTTATATTTAAAAAAGACAACTCCCGCATTAGGAAAATATCCTGTGTCGCGGGGGACTTCACAAACATACACGCAACGGACACAAAGAACACCCAGACTCAGAACAACAGTTTGTGGATCACACAAAGTGTCGTCCCATGTGGGGTTTGAACCCACAACACTCGGCGTAGTAGGAAGCGGCGTGGCGTCCGCTTAAACCACTACGCCATCCGTGCAGTCGAAGCAGAATGCTGATCGTGTGTGAGAAGCGTGAAGTTGTTATTATTATTACAAATTCTTTCATAGTGCGTATGAATATAATACTAATGAAAATAGACTTTTTTATTATTGGCTACAAGAGCTTTTTCTACTTACAACACTAGTGGTGAGGGAATTCAGCATGTCGAACGTGTTGCTCTGTTGTGTGTGAATAATCGCGAGCGCGTTGTACGGCCGAGGGCCGAGCACCGGAGCCTTCATCACGCCTACTTCGTTGCCAACCACGACCTAGAGACACGAGCACAAAGACTTAATAGAAAGAAGAAGACTTAATAGCCTTAGTAGAAAGAATTGCAGTGACGTATTAATATCATTTGATTCCTCTTAACCTAATTATTTATGGCGGCACGATGGACCGACGACTTGAGAAAAGTGGCTGGCAGCGGATGGATGCGGACTGTCCAAGACCGGGATGGTTGGCGCTCCTTGGGGGAGGTCTTCGTTCAGCACTGATGGTCCTAATTGTTTACGGTCAGCTTTAACATAATCCATTCATATTATCTGTATTCTAAAGACCTTAAACATTCATACTGGTACTTTCGTTCAGATTTATCTGCATGCTTCTATATTTCCACAAAGGCATTTTAAACAGACACTTTTCGATAACTACAAATGAATGAAAGGGATATATGTTAAACGGATGGATTGGGCTGTTGACAGCTGTTGAAAAATTGTGATAGGTACTACTTAGAACAGAATATAATTATGTTGCGATGTTATTAGTTCATATAATATTTAAGGAAAAATGTAATAGTTTAAATCACATTGCTGTACCTTAAAAGTCTTTTCCTTCCCGTGCACAGTCTTCTCCTTGGCGGGGAGTACTGTGGGTTCGAGTTGGTGTGCCGTCGGCTGTGAAATCTGGTGACCGTGGCCGTGCAGCCCTGATGTCATCTGAAAATAATGCCGTCAACTTCAAATCTCACCACATAGAAATAAAACTAATTCTACAAACACAGCGGTTGGCAATCGGCTATTTTCAGGGCAACTAACTAGTGTTACCCGTAAAAAAACAGTAAATTATTGCAATCGTTTGATCAATTTCTATTATATTATATTTATATACATAATTATCTATCGGAGACCAATGCTTTGCCAAGGATCAAAGGAGGTATGGAAAAACACCTGGACTAACAGACTCGTTACTCTTCACAGAGTATCGCAAAACTTTTCATATTAAATAATAATAGGCTATTTACGATTTTAAAACACTGATTTTACTTTTCTGTAATTAAGATTTTAAATTTATGTCTACAGGATTTAAAAAAAATATAGGTTTTAAGTAAAATGTACCAAAACATTGGTGACTTATTCCTTAATGACATTCAGCCTGTTTTTATATTACTAAGAACCTCCGAATGACTGTTTCTATAATGTTGCTATAATTTTGTTTACTTATAATTATGAATATTATTTATATATGTTTACTTTAATACTAGATGGTCAGTTGAGGTACCTGTCCTGGATCATGAAGGAACCACAAATGCTGGTGAATGGATCATGCCTAGTATTAGAAGTAACAGTCAGACTTTTTGAATAGAAGATAGTAGGTAAATTTCAAATTTATAAATTTATATGAAATTTATATTTATATGTATGGGACATATAAATTTGAAAGTGAGTTTGTTTGTCACGCTTTCACGCCTAAACCACTATATCGATTTTAAAAATTCTTTCACCATTGGAAAGCTACATTATCAGTGAATAACATTGGCTACTTTTTACCGCGATGACCAACATAAACGCGGGCGGAGCCGCGGGCAAAAGCTGGTAGTTAATAAAAATAAAATTAAAATCAAACAAAACACAAAAACTAATGAATAATGACAATTAAAATAATTTATATACGTAAGTTATTTAAGTAAAATGTTAAATTTGCATGCTCTTTTCATGGCTAAATGGGCCTGTTCGCATTATATCAAACTTGAAATACCACATTATGTTAAAGAATTTGAAATTAAGATAAAAAAAAATTGATGGAAAAAACATTAAGGATGGTATGTAACAATATGCTATTTCAAATAGGAACGGAGTAGTAACTATACACACAAGTGAACACACCATCAGAATACATCATCATGTCATTACCTTCATCATTCCCATATATCATGAGGCCAATTCTCCTAATAATTCCGTCAAATAGTAAAGTATTACTAAGATTATCGATTAAATTATCGTTTACAATACGATATAATCACATTACAGTCAAAGTTGGATGTTTACTGTACTGTACTTTACTACGAAAATGTATTTCATGACAGTTGTGAGATCGAGTGTTGATCGGCACTGAATTGTGACCAAGCTTTCATAAAGAGGATTGACCGCCTGTTTTTTTCCTAATTCAATTTGATGATTTGATTTCTATTATGGCCCGGCCGGTCTATTTGACACGAATTCTACTCGGGAACGAAACTATTTTCAGACAGGACATAGAAGACACAAAATTGGCTAAAGAAAAACGGATAGGACAAGGGAGCTTTGGAGTTTTTACCCTAACTTTCGCATCCGATCTCTTGATATCGGATAGGAAACGTTTGCAATATTACAGAGAGGCCGGTGCCGCGTACCGGGTACGTCTGTCCTCTGATTAGAAAGGCTATACTAGGTCAAGGACAGCATCTGACCATAAAAAACTATATAGGTACTAACAATTTCTTTTTTTACTTATATATATTATTCGGGGCACATTGCAAAGTTAAGTAACCCTAGTCAGGTCAGCCTATGGATGGGTGATTCTTCTGAGTATTCTTAACACATTGAGACCTTTCTGTGTCTGGAAAAGCACGTTAAGCCGTCGTCGATCTTGGTTACCATACCCACATCTGTTGCAATTGTCACGGATATTTGGAGCCTTAAAAAGTCTTTACTTGTAAGTATACTTGAGTTGTGGAGGTCTGATGGCGGTCGAAATCGAAGTTTAGCCGTGTCGTACTAGACTTTATATTAATTATATTAAAGGCGGAATTTATATTAATTATTTAATGCGCTTCTGAATTCATCAGAAGATAAACTAAATAATTATAAACCTATAAAGTGATTATGGTATTTTTTTGACATTGCCGCTCTCCATTACACTGTTATCTATTAGAAATATACATGTATAAATGTCGACGACACTTACGCAGACGATAACCGCCTATTTATACTCACTTCCATACTTATTTAGTCGCAGTACTAGTTGTTTCCTTCCTCTCTGGGGCCAGACGACCACAATGTCAGCCTAACCAATCAGGTCAAAGATATGTGTTCTATGCAATTAATTTATAAACGCGGTGGTATTAATATAACAGTATAAGGTGTCACAGTAATGTCAATGGCCTTAAATGTGCATAAAGGTTGGCGGTCGATGAGTGTTACCTCAGAAACGTACGCATACTATGTATGAATCTTATTTTTGTCAATTTTAAATTTTTTTTGCTCGGTAAACAACCGTAGCAAGTGTATGTTAAGGCCCCCTCTCTTTCGCACCCGCTCTAGTTTTTAGGTAGTAATTAATAAACATAATTTGCAAGAATGATTTGAAACGATATTAAATCATTTTTACAAACAAAAAATTTAAAATTTACTTTTTGGCGTATTTCTCTGTTTTAATACAGTTTTTGCCATATTTGAATATAAATCGCGAGATTCACATTGAGGATCATCGTAGTAGTTCATCTACGTGACGAAAACTTAAGCCCTCCCTCGCCCCTTTGATCTAGCGTGGTATTTTTGAGGACCTCTCTCTCTCTGAACGTGTCACAAATGGGTATGTCCACTTAGTAAACAGATTTTGTTTCAGGTTTTCTTTTAACTATGTAGTTAAATTTGACTAAATCAAGTTAAGGTTAATATAATAAAAAAATTTCAGCTCTTAATTTTCAACAATATTCCAAAACCAACCAAAGAACAACTACGAGTATGAGAATAATAAATTCGATCCAAAAATTATATCTCCCTTGCCTCATCACTCTTTTTCCATGCAGGGTTTTAAATTAAGTTTTTAGGGTAAACTAGCGAATCCGACAAACGTTGTCCTGTACACACGTCTTAAATCCGAAACTTTCAAAAAAACTTTTTGTAGTGGACCAAATAATGAATCTAAGCCATTTTCGAATCCACTTGAACAAAAAAAAAAACATCATAATCGGTCTAGCCGTTTAGGAGTTCAGTCACATACACACGCACAGAAGAATTATATATCTAAAGATTTACAATATCCGAAAATCCAGGTATTTTCAGATCCTCACTCGCAAGAGAAAAATGGTTAAAGTTTGAAGATTTAGGCTGAAGATGGTTTTGGTGGATATTGGCCTGAATATCATTATATATATCATATATCGGAATATATATACATAATATCGGAATTATTTTGCTAAAAAAAAATTTGGTCTTGATAACATTTAACTTTAATTAACTTGCTTTTACACATAGTTTTGGGTTGAATATTAGACATTTTTTGTTTGAATGTTTACCTATTGTGTGAAAAAACATTGGAAACCTGGGCCTCAATTCTGCTATTACGTCAAGCCAGTGTCATACCACTGACACGCTATTGAGATGCCATCGAGTAGCCATTGGCATCGGTATAAATATCGGTAGTTGAAAATATATTACGTTTTTTGAGGAAATGATTTATTTGTTTTTATTATAATAAATTATTAAAAGAAATAAATAAATTAAAATAACTTTAACAAAATAATAATTAAAGAATAAATAAATAAATAAATTAAAATAAATTAAAATAAATAAATAAATTAAAATAAATAAATAAATTAAATAAATTATTAAAAAAGATATAATTTATTAAAATTAAAAAATTAAAATAAAAAAATATTTAAATAAATAAGTCATTTCCTTATAATTTCAAAATATATTAGGATGAATCATTTCCTCAAAAAACGTAATACATTTTCAACTACCGATATTTATACCGATGCCAATGGCTAGTCGATGGCATCTCAATAGCGTGTCAGTGGTATGACACTGGCTTCTCGTAAACATAAAATAGGAGAATTGAGGCCCTGGACAGCTGGTTCGAACAAAACAAAATGGAAGAAAATTACAGCAACAGAGGGACTACGGTTGAAACGGAAATTGTAAAAAATATTAGTAAGTAATGTTATTGGCGTTGAAAATTATTAATCAAATAATAACAGTGACAAATCTGACGTCTTTGAAATCCACCCCTCTAATGATGATTCACATAAACGTGATCTGAATCATCATAATCATCATTTTCAGATTTTTCAGGGCTTCGAGAATCTCATTCATATGATTTGATCATGCGATGCTTTGATCTAGGCGAAATGGTTAGTGACGAAATTTAATATATAATAATCTACTTGAGCAAACTACGCAGGACAACAGCACTGCAAAGAGAAAGAAAACTTGAAACAAACCCTATACCGACCCAGGCCAAAACCTGCTTTCTTAGGAGAGGCCTATGCCCAGCAGTGGACTGTTAAGATCACGATGATGAATCTACTTGAGCGTATAAATCGAAAATATAAAATGGTCTTGTTTCAATTTATAATGGTTTACGATTGAACGAAAGATTATATGTTACAACCGTTATTGTTATTGACGACCGAATGGCGTAGTGGTTTGTGTAACGGACTGCTATTCCAAAGGTCGCGGGTTCCATTCCCGCTCAAGTCAAGCATTTGTGTGCATGAACATTTAATGTTTGATTTGGTCTGGGTGTTTCTATGTATAATATGTATGTATTTACAAAAAAAAAAGTATATATGTATTTATATCAGTTGTCTAGTACCCATAGTACAAGCTCTGCTTAGTTTGGGACTAGATGGCGTTGTGTCAATGTGGTAGAATATTATTATTATTATTATTATTGTTATGATATAGGAGAGCAAACGAGCTAAGGAATTACTCAATGGTAAGTGACTACCGCC